CCCGGGAGACATGTTTTCAAAGTAAAACCGTTTTCAAAAGTTTTTAAAGGTGGGTTGGGGTTTTCAAAAGTAAAACAGCATCATCACACCGTATCACTCTACTCTCCAGGCTCAGTAAGTTAGTATTTTTTTAGTTATCTTCAGTTCATCTTCATCTGCTATCCACATCTACATTGTGTCTACTGTCCTCATCTGTTGTCTGCATCGTCTAGAGTCTGCTGTATCTGTATCTGCATTAGTTGTGACTAATCGAATCGGAGGACACGATTCTGATTACTTATTCTTGTGAATAGATGCCACCAAAGGGACAACGTTGTTTTAACTTTAGCTATCTCGGAAGGGTCTTTAGTTGTAAAGTTTTGCCTTCTTGCAGGCTGTGTCTCTGTGTTCTTAACTCTTTCGGTTTCTAATATTACCCAGTTGAAAAAAAAAAAGGAGATGCTCTTACTCCCATTATCATTTCAGGCCAAAGATGTTTAATAAGTTTCATTCCTGCTTACAGTATTTTAAAACTCTGTGTTCTTAAAGCAAAGCAAACCAAAAGTGGCCCTTTTCCGTTGTTATTATTGTAGATGATATATATTGTGTAAAGCTGTGACATTAAATTGCTTATCTATGAGATTATTCAAAAATGATTATATAAATTAAAACAAGAAAAACAGAAAACCAACTTCTTCTTCACTGTGCTTGCATCTCACGCCAAAACCACCAAGTCCAAAAACAACCCGCCATGACGGAGCCAAAGCCAACATCATGAGTTCATCAGTGCCAGTCGAGAACTTAGCCCGAGGGGGCGGCTTCTCAGATTTATCGCAAGAACTTCAAGAGACCTGTACAACAGTACAAGTACTTATCGCATGACCTTCCGACTTGGTTCATGATTCGCCATGAATTTTGTGCACATTCAACTTAAAAAAAGGCTTTAAGCTACTAAACACAATGGATGATACCAGTATTGTTTGAGCATAAACAAGAACACTGCTCTTCGTTTGATTCTGTCTTAATCATTCGCTTTTCACGATTGATCATAAGTTTGATTAAGGGTGTCTTCTGAGTAACTTGCCTCCAAATCTCGTTCATAGTTTCATTGCGATGCGTATAATCGAAGTATCGTCTCACCTACACAAATCAAACTTTTATTTGGATTCACAAGTGAACAATTAAAAAAAAGACAGAACAAGAAACTCTCTTTACCTCTTTCATAGCCTTTTGGTACTTCAAAATCTTCTGAGGCTTCACTTTTCTCAACCTCTTAACCAAAAACTCGGGCTTCAAAGCCGCATCACTCCTCAAAAACACATAGAACTTTCTGTAATCTATAACATCTTTGAAAAGTAGCTCGATGCCATCGCTTACAATCACCGGGACATAAAACCTCGGGATGGAATCAAACAATCTGCAAGCAGAAGGAGTATCACCAGCTGGATGCAGACAAAACTTAGATGTATGCCTCCCTTGTTTAGCTGCTCGCCTATTCCCTCTTGACTGTCCTTCATGTTTGATCACAACATCATCTTCGTTCTCAAGCAGCTTCCATCTACTGTAATGGGCAAAAGTTTCTTTTCGTCAGCATCATTGTTCTTGCTCAAAGTTTTTTTCTTGTTTCGACCCCTGAATCCAAAACACACAGAGATAATTATTTACCTGCATTTATTTTGTTTGAATAAGGTTTAGAAAAGAAAAAAACATTAAAACAGAGATGAACGAAGGGTGATTATCAATGCGTGAAATGATGGGGATGAATAACAATCACCATTAACAAGCAATTAACGTCTTCAACACACTCACAAGTTTCGTATTTTTCGTTGGGAGATTGATACTTTCTCTCGTTGATGACTCATCCGTCTCGCGTTTTCCTGCAGAAAAAGAGTTGATAAAGCGTTAATGCTGCACAGTGAAAGAAAAGGAAACAAACCTTTGCTATTTACCAATTATGTTCGGTAAATACTATGAAACTCGTAGAAAAGGAAGATTTTTGGTTCCTACTTCCATTATGAGCAACTGGTGCATCTCATTCCAGCTCTCAGCAAAATGAACTTATAGATCATCTGCTCTCCTCCACCAAGCAAAGGTCTCAAACATGTGTAACATTGACATAAAGGCTGCAAGGAGCATACACGTTCACATTACCAAATAGAAATGACAAAATGTTTTCTTATTGAAATATAAACCTTACCTTCTTCCTTGTTGTGCTTTGATCTTGAGTTTTAGTGTATCCCATCATAAAGCTACATCACAAAAAACATTAAACAATTAAGACAAGAAACACCAACTCAAAATCTGAATTGCCTCAAGAGGAGGAAAACAAAATCATGTCTTACTTCAATGATTTAAAACTCAACAAAATCTATAAACTTTATGATAAATTATTAGCTAAAGATTAAATCAAATACAGAAATTTCCAAACTCGGAAGATCTCATACAAACTCATGATTTCACCAGATTGTCAACGAATTTTCTGTTTGATTCCCGGGAAAATTGAGACCAAAGTAAGAAACTCTTCTACACTACACTATCGAATGTAGATTTGGATTAAGCTAAGCAAGATATGATGTATGTAATGCGAATGAATGAATGAAAGTAAGCAAACAATTTTGTAAGATAATCTAAGTTCCAGAAGACTAAAAGCGCTAAGTCAGGATAGTTCGCAGGTTGAATCCAAGAATGTATGACGCAGGAAATCAGGAATGATTAAGACCCGTTTTAAACATGAATCACTGATGTATAACTAATCAATTCTCATTGCAAAAGTTATCTATGCCTAAATCACAGAGTTTCAAATCTCTTTGCAAATCCTAACAACCTAAGCATGCCGGAATGATCAGGTTCAATTGTTTACAAAACTCCTAAGCCAAATCTCTTTGCACTAAGTTGCTTTGCTCATCAAATACTAGTTCAGGTTATGAATAATGCTCTCACATATATTTAACAACCTAAGATTTTCGGATTCCTAGATGATGTGTCTCAGAAATTTGATTTTAAAGCAAGTAGAGATGAAAAACCATAAGATATTCCTAACAGATAGCGATTCTACAATCTTTTCATCAACCTTTGAAAAACCCTAACTTAACTTGCAGATTACTCATACATGATTATGAGATCACAAAACATAACTGAATAAAATTGCATTAAGAGAAAGAGTAAGAAATAAAGGGGGTTCGAAATCTTCTCAAAAGAGTACAAGATTTGTCTCCCCAAAAAGCTCTGAATAAATCTCTCTCTAAGCTCTCTGAATTCTCAAAAACTAAGATAATAGCCAACAATGGCTGAAAAACCTAATAAATAGAGGCTAAACACGATCTGGGGTCTTCATGTAAATAAAAGAACTTCTGGGCCAATTCTGTAAATCTTCTTCATACTTTTAATAAAACAGCCACGCTCCTTCCTTGATGGGTGACGAGCGTCACCAAAGGTGGTGACGAGCGTCACCATAGGTGATACTTTCTGCTTCGAGCTTGGTACTTCGTGGCTTCAACCCAGAATGCTCCAAAAGGTTCCAAAATCTCCAATTATGCTCCAGACATGCTATAACCTGCAAAGACTCTACTAGAACTCTAAAAAGACCAAAAAGACTCAATAAAAAGGACTTATATCATGGTTAAAAACCATAAAAACCATGATATATCACTGCTCCAGCTCACCTGCGCAAGGGGGAAAGGGAAAGGAGGGGATGAGTAATTTAGATTACCCAGGAGAATGCATACATGTGGTCCACCACATATACCATTACCCAACTTGTCGCTAGCTAGAGCCAAACAAACAAGCGCAGTTTAACGATTTCTCTAACAATCAACAAACAAAATATGCAATGAACAACGCGAGCATACTGAACGCCTCTCGTTACAGTATTCCACGGATTAACCTCTGCAAGTTTCGTATGTCTTACACCCTTGCTAAGGGACGCATCTCTGCAAGACTCTAAGTCGCTGCACGACTGGTCCGTCGACCTGAGCGCCACATGGCACTATGACAGGCACAACCTCTGTCGCAGGCGTCAATCATGCCAGCAGTGCCTCTCACTGCTGGGTCCTAATGCAGTTTGTGCTTTCATACACACTATATGCAATGCAATGCAGTTCACAATTCTCACAGGCAATATTCAATATCAAGCAACAATCAACAGTATTAACCCATATCTAGATCTATGTTCTGAAAGTAAATAACAACCTAGCAAACAGCACAGATCTACAAGTTACGACCTAGAGCGGAACTTGTAGGGGATTTAGAGGACTTGGAAGTCAGATCTAACAGGAGAAGCTAGCTAATGATAATGAAGGGAAGGCATGAATACATCCTCACCTTTTCCTAATCGAATGAAAGCTAAAAAGGGATCTAGGGTTTAAGGGATCTAACGACGGAAAGCAAAGGACTCAAGAAAACGGTAGATAGAAATGGCGGAACGACGGCGGCTCTCCTCGGCGGCGGCGGTCGGCGGCGATGATGATCGGCGGCGGCGGCTTGCTCGGTTAGGGTTCCAAGGTTTTATCTCTGAGTGCTTTGGGAGTTGTGATGGAAATCTTTAACTCTCTAATTCTGTTTATATAGGAAAGACTCTGGGAAAATACTAATACCTTTTCTTTTGGGCTTTTGACATATGGGCCTTTCCTCTTCCTGTTGGGCCTAGATCTAGAGCGTTAAAAATTGTCTCAAGATTGGATTGCATGTAGCCTGGATTCCTATCCTTGAATTTGAAAAAAAACCAGGAGAAAATGTCAGACAAAGTGGATTTGGTGAATCTGCTGTTCTGTTTCATTCCCATTCGTTCGCAGCTCCTCTTACTGGTAATGAATCTTTTGAGATTTGTCTCTTTCGTCTCTATGATTAGATATGTTTCAGAAATTTCAATTGTTTGGAGGCGATCCGGAATCAAAGTCATAACTTTTAGGGTTATCTTGATAGATCTGTTCTCAATTCCTGGATTTTTAGTAGAAGAGTTTCTTACTTTGGTCTCAATTTTCCCGGGAATCAAACAGAAAGTTCGTTGACAATCTGGTGAAATCATGAGTTTGTATGAAATCTTCCGAGTATGGAAATTTCTGTATTTGATTTAAGCTTTAGCTAATGATTTATCATAAAGTTTATAGATTTTGTTGAGTTTTAAATCATTGAAGTAAGACATGATTTTGTTTTCCTCCTCTGGAGGCAATTCAGATTTTGAGTTGGTGTTTCTTGTCTTAATTGTTTACTGTTTTTTGTGATGTAGCTTTATGATGGGATACACTAAACCTCAAGATCAAAGCACAACAAGGAAGAAGGTAAGGTTTATATTTCAAGAAGAAGACATTTTGTCATTTTGATTTGGTAATGTGAACGTGTATGCTCTTTGCAGCTTTTATGTCAATGTTACACATGTTTGAGACCTTTGCTTGGTGGAGGAGAGCAGATGATCTATAAGTTCATTTTGCTGAGAGCTGGAATTAGATGCACCAGTTGCTCATAATGGAAGTAGGAACCAAGAATCTCTCTTCTCTACGAGTTTCATAGTATTTACCGAACATAATTGGTAAATAGCAAATGTTTGTTTCCTTTTCTTTCACTGTGCAACATCAACGCTTTATCAACTCTTTTTCTGCAGGAAAACGCGAGACGGATGAGTCGTCAACGAGAGAAAGTATCAATCTCCCAACGAAAAATATGAAACTTGTGAGTGTGTTGAAGATGTTAATTGCTTGTTAATGGTGATTGTTATTCATCCCCATCACTTCACGCATTGATAATCACCCTTCGTTCATCTCTGTTTTAATGTTTTTTTCTTTTCTAAACCTTATTCAAACAAAATAAATGCAGGCAAATAATTATCTCCATGTGTTTTGGATTCAGGGGTCGAAACATGAAAAAAACTTTGAGCAAGAACAATGATGCTGACGAAAAGAAACTTTTGCCCATTACAGTAGATGGAAGCTGCTTGAGAACGAAGATGATGTTGTGATCAAACATGAAGGACAGTCAAGAGGGAATAGGCGAGCAGCTAAACAAGGGAGGCATACATCTAAGTTTTGTCTGCATCCAGCTGGTGATACTCCTTCTGCTTGCAGATTGTTTGATTCCATCTCGAGTTTTTGTGTCCCGGTGATTGTAAGCGATGGTATCGAGCTACCTTTCAAAGATGTTATAGATTACAGAAAGTTCTATGTGTTTTTGAGGAGTGATGCGGCTTTGAAGCCCGAGTTTTTGGTTAAGAGGTTGAGAAAAGTGAAGCCTCAGAAGATTTTGAAGTACCAAAAGGCTATGAAAGAGGTAAAGAGAGTTTCTTGTTCTGTCTTTTTTTTAATTGTTCACTTGTGAATCCAAATAAAAGTTTGATTTGTGTAGGTGAGACGATACTTCGATTATACGCATCGCAATGAAACTATGAACGAGATTTGGAGGCAAGTTACTCAGAAGACACCCTTAATCAAACTTATGATCACTCGTGAAAAGCGAATGATTAAGACAGAATCAAACGAAGAGCAGTGTTCTTGTTTATGCTCAAACCATACTGGTATCATCCATTGTGTTTAGTATCTTAAAGCCTTTTTTTAATTTGAATGTGCACAAAATTCATGGTGAATTATGAACCAAGTCGGAAGGTCATGCGATAAGTACTTGTACTGTTGTACAGGTCTCTTGAAGTTCTTGCGATAAATCTGAGAAGCCGCCCCCTCGGGCTAAGTTCTCGACTGGCACTGATGAACTCATGATGTTGGCTTTGGCTCTGTCATGGCGGGTTGTTTTCGGACTTGGTGGTTTTGGCGTGAGATGCAAGCACAGTGAAGAAGAAGTTCGTTTTCTGTTTTTCTTGTTTTAGTTTATATAATCATTTTTGAATAATCTCATAGATAAGCAATTTAATGTCACAGCTTTACACAATATATATCATCTACAATAATAACAACGGAAAAGGGCCACTTTTGGTTTGCTTTGCTTTAAGACCACAGAGTTTTAAAATATTGTAAGCAGGAATGAAACTTATTAAACATCTTTGGCCTGAAATGATAATGGGAGTAAGAGCATCTCCTTTTTTTTTTCAACTGGGTAATATTAGAAACCGAAAGAGTTAAGAACACAGAGACACAGCCTGCAAGAAGGAAAAACTTTACAACTAAAGACCCTTCCGAGATAGCTAAAGTTAAAACAACGTTGTCCCTTTGGTGGCATCTATTCAGAAGAATAAGTAATCAGAATCGTGTCCTCCGATTCGATTAGCCATAACTAATGCAGATACAGATACAGCAGACTCTAGACGATGCAGACAACAGATGAGGACAGTAGACACAATGTAGATGTGGACAGCAGATGAAGATGAACTGAAGATAACTAAAAAAATACTAACTTACTGAGCCTGGAGAGCAGAGTGATATGGTGTGATGATGCTGTTTTACTTTTGAAAACCCCAACCCACCTTTAAAAACTTTCGAAAACGGTTTTACTTTGAAAACATGTCTCCCGGGTCAGAACCGGTATGACTGGTAACCTAGGCTCTGATACCAAACTTGTAACACCGCCTATCCTCATATGAGATGACGTGTTAAACACTCAACTTTCCAACCAAGTTACCACAGCATTAACTCCAAATCAATACTCATTTCATAGATATAAATCTAAATAGTCTTGAAAATAACCAACTTAAACTCAAATTAATCATAATCAAGTCACAAAACCAACTGAAAACCATTTGAAAGAGAAAGCTAAGTGTCTTAAGGACTCCAATGACCGAACTAGAGAACCAGCTCGCCACCATCACACGCCAATCACTCCTGCTGCTCCTGCTCACATGCGCAAGGGGGAAAGGGAATGGAGGGGATGAGTAATTTAGATTACCCAGGAGAATACATACATGTGGTCCACCATATATACCATTACCCAGCTTGTCGCTAGCTAGAGCCAAACGAACAAGCGCAGTTTAACGATTTCTCTAACAATCAACAAACAAAATATGCAATAAACAAAGCGAGCATACTGAACGCCTCTCGTTACAGTATTCCATGGATTAACCTCTGCAAGTTTCGTATGTCTTACACCCTTGCTAGGGGACGCATCTCTGCAAGACTCTAAGTCGCTGCACGACTGGTCCGTCGACCTGAGCGCCACATGGCACTATGACAGGCACAACCTCTGTCGTAGGCGTCAATCATGCCAGCAGTGCCTCTCACTGTTGGGTCCTAATGCAGTTTGTGCTTTCATACACACTATATGCAATGCAATGCAGTTCACAATTTCACAGGCAATATTCAATATCAAGCAACAATCAACAGTATTCACCCATATCTAGATCTATGTTCTGAAAGTAAATAACAACCTAGCAAACAGCACAGATCTACAAGTTACGACCTAGAGCGGAACTTGTAGGGGATTTAGAGGACTTGGAAGTCAGATCTAACAGGAGAAGCTAGCTAATGATAATGAAGGGAAGGCATGAATACATCCTCACCTTTTCCTAATCGAATGAAAGCTAAAATGGGATCTAGGGTTTAAGGGATCTAACGACGGAAAGCAAAGGACTCAAGAAAACAGCGGCTAGGAATGGCGGAACGACGGCGGCTCTCCTCGGCGGCGGCGGTCGGCGGCGATGATGATCGGCGGTGGCGGCTTGCTCGGTTAGGGTTCATAGGTTCTATCTCTGAGTGCTTTGGGAGTTGTGATGGAAATCTTTAACTCTCTAACTTTGTTTATATAGGAAAGACTCTGGGAAAACCCTAATACCTTTCCTTTTGGGCTTTTGACATATGGGCCTTTCCTTTTCATGTTGGGCCTAGATCCAGAGCGTTACAAATTATCTCAAGATTGGATTGCATGTAGCCTGGATTCCTATCCTTGAATTGAAAAAACCAGGAGAAAATGTCAGATAAAGTGGATTTGGTGAATCTGTTGTTCTGTTTCATTCCCATTCGTTCGCAGCTCCTCTTACTGGTAACGAATCTTTTGAGGTTTGTCTCTTTCGTCTCTATGATTAGATATGTTTCAGAAATTTCAATTGTTTGGAGGCGATCTGGAATCAAAGTCATAACTTTTAGGGTTATCTTGATAGATTTGTTCTCAATTCCTGGATTTTTAGTAGAAGAGTTTCTTACTTTGGTCTCAATTTTCCAGGGAATCAAACAGAAAGTTCGTTGACAATCTGGTGAAATCATGAGTTTGTATAAAATCTTCCGAGTATGGAAATTTCTGTATTTGGTTTAAGCTTTAGCTAATGATTTATCATAAAGTTTATAGATTTTGTTGAGTTTTAAATCATTGAAGTAAGACATGATTTTGTTTTCCTCCTCTTGAGGCAATTCAGATTTTGAGTTGGTGTTTCTTGTCTTAATTGTTTACTGTTTTTTGTGATGTAGCTTTATGATGGGATACACTAAAACTCAAGATCAAAGCACAACAAGGAAGAAGGTAAGGCTTATATTTCAAGAAGAAGACATTTTGTCATTTCTATTTGGTAATGTGAACGTGTATGCTCCTTGCAGCCTTTATGTCAATGTTACACATGTTTGAGACCTTTGCTTGTTGGAGGAGAGCAGATGATCTATAAGTTCATTTTGCTGAGAGCTGGAATGAGATGCACCAGTTGCTCATAATGGAAGTAGGAACCAAGAATCTCCCTTCTCTACGAGTTTCATAGTATTTACCGAACATAATTGGTAAATAGTAAAAGTTTGTTTCCTTTTCTGCAGGAAAACGCGAGACGGATGAGAGTCGTCAACGAGAGAAAGTATCAATCTCCCAATGAAAAATATGGAACTTGTGAGTGTGTTGAAGACGTTAATTGCTTGTTAATGGTGATTGTTAATCATCCCCATCACTTCACGCATTGATAATCACCCTTCGTTCATCTCTGTTTTAATGTTTTTTTCTTTTCTAAACCTTATTCAAACAAAATAAATGCAGGCAAATAATTATCTCCGTGTGTTTTGGATTCAGGGGTCGAAACAGGAAAAAAACTTTGAGCAAGAACAATGATGCTGACGAAAAGAAACTTTTGCCCATTACAGTAGATGGAAGCTGCTTGAGAACGAAGATGATGTTGTGATCAAACATGAAGGACAGTCAAGAGGGAATAGGCGAGCAGCTAAACAAGGGAGGCATACATCTAAGTTTTGTCTGCATCCAGCTGGTGATACTTCTTCTACTTGCAGATTGTTTGATTCCATCCCGAGGTTTTGTGTCCCGGTGATTGTAAGTGATGGCATCGAGCTACCTTTCAAAGATGTTATAGATTACAGAAAGTTCTATGTGTTTTTGAGGAGTGATACGGCTTTGAAGCCCGAGTTTTTGGTTAAGAGGTTGAGAAAAGTGAAGCCTCAGAAGATTTTGAAGTACCAAAAGGCTATGAAAGAGGTAAAGAGAGTTTCTTGTTCTGTCTTTTTTTTAATTGTTCATTTGTGAATCCAAATAAAAGTTTGATTTGTGTAGGTGAGACGATACTTCGATTATACGCATTGCAATGAAACTATGAACGAGATTTGGAGGCAAGTTACTCAGAAGACACCCTTAATCAAACTTATGATCAATCGTGAAAAGCAAATGATTAAGACAGAATTAAACAAAGAGCAGTGTTCTTGTTTATGCTCAAACAATACTGGTATCATCCATTGTGTTTAGTAGCTTAAAGCCTTTTTTTAAGTTGAATGTGCACAAAATTCATGGCGAATCATGAACCAAGTCGGAAGGTCATGCGATAAGTACTTGTACTATTGTACAGGTCTCTTGAAGTTCTTGCGATAAATCTGAGAAGCCGCCCCTTCGGGCTAAGTTCTCGACTGGCACTGATGAACTCATGATGTTGGCTTTGGCTCCGTCATGGCGGGTTGTTTTCGGACTTGGTGGTTTTGGCGTGAGATGCAAGCACAGTGAAGAAGAAGTTGGTTTTCTGTTTTTCTTGTTTTAGTTTATATAATCATTTTTGAATAATCTCATAGATAAGCAATTTAATGTCACAGCTTTACACAATATATATCATCTACAATAATAACAACGGAAAAGGGCCACTTTTGGTTTGCTTTGCTTTAAGAACACAGAGTTTTAAAATACTGTAAGCAGGAATGAAACTTATTAAACATCTTTGGCCTGAAATGATAATGGGAGTAAGAGCATCTCCTTTTTTTTTTCAACTGGGTAATATTAGAAACTGAAAGAGTTAAGAACACAGAGACACAGCCTGCAAGAAGGCAAAACTTTACAACTAAAGACCCTTCCGAGATAGCTAAAGTTAAAACAACGTTGTCCCTTTGGTGGCATCTATTCAGAAGAATAAGTAATCAGAATCGTGTCCTCCGATTCGATTAGCCACAACTAATGCAGATACAGATACAGCAGACTCTAGACGATGCAGACAACAGATGAGGACAGTAGACACAATGTAGATGTGGACAGCAGATGAAGATGAACTGAAGATAACTAAAAAAATACTAACTTACTGAGCCTGGAGAGCAGAGTGATACGGTGTGATGATGCTGTTTTACTTTTGAAAACCCCAGCCCACCTTTAAAAACTTTTGAAAACGGTTTTACTTTGAAAACATGTCTCCCGGGTCAGAACCGGTATGACTGGTAACCTAGGCTCTGATACCAAACTTGTAACACCGCCTATCCTCATATGAGATGACGTGTTAAACACTCAACTTTCCAACCAAGTTACCACAGCATTAACTCCAAATCAATACTCATTTCATAGATACAAATCCAAATAGTCTTGCAAGTAACCAACTTAAACTCAAATAAATCATAATCAAGTCACAAAACCAACTGAAAACCATTTGAAATAGAAAGCTAAGTGTCTTAAGGACCCCAATGACCGAACTAAAGAACCAGCTCGCCACCATCACACGCCAATCACTCCTGCTGCTCCTCCTCACCTGCGCAAGGGGGAAAGGGAAAGGAGGAGATGAGTAATTTAGATTACCCAGGAGAATGCATACATGTGGTCCACCACATATACCATTACCCAACTTGTCGCAAGCTAGAGCCAAACGAACAAGCGCAGTTTAACGATTTCTCTAACAATCAACAAACAAAATATGCAATGAACAAAGCGAGCATACTGAACGCCTCTCGTTACAGTATTCCACGGATTAACCTCTGGAAGTTTCGTATGTCTTACACCCTTGCTAGGGGACGCATCTCTGCAAGACTCTAAGTCGCTGCACGACTGGTCCGTCGACCTGAGCGCCACATGGCACTATGACAGGCACAACCTCTGTCGCAGGCGTCAATCATGCCAGCAGTGCCTCTCACTGCTGGGTCCTAATGCAGTTTGTGCTTTCATACACACTATATGCAATGCAATGCAGTTCACAATTCTCACAGGCAATATTCAATATCAAGCAACAATCAACAGTATTAACTCATATCTAGATCTATGTTCTGAAAAGAAATAACAACCTAGCAAACAGCACAGATCTATAAGTTATGACCTAGAGTGGAACTTGTAGTGGATTTAGAGGACTTGGAAGTCAGATCTAACAGGAGAAGCTAACTAATGATAATGAAGGGAAGGCATGAATACATCCTCACCTTTTCCTAATCGAATGAAAGCTAAAAAGGGATATAGGGTTTAAGGGATCTAACGACGGAAAGCAAAGGACTCAAGAAAACGGCGGCTAGGAACGGTGGAACGACGGCGGCTCTCCTCGGCGGCGTCGGTCGGCGGCGGCGGCTTGCTCGGTTAGGGTTCCTAGGTTCTATCTCTGAGTGCTTTGGAAGTTGTGATGGAAATCCTTAACTCTCTAACTCTGTTTATATAGGAAAGACTCTAGGAAAATCCTAATACCTTTCCTTTTGGGCTTTTGACATATGGGCCTTTCTTTTTTCTGTTGGGCCTAGATCCAGAGCGTTACAAATTGTCTCAAGATTGGATTGCATGTAGCCTGGATTCCTATCCTTGAATTTGAAAAAAAAACAGGAGAAAATGTCAGACAAAGTGGATTTGGTGAATCTGTTGTTCTGTTTCATTCCCATTCGTTCGCAGCTCCTCTTACTGGTAACGAATCTTTTGAGGTTTGTCTCTTTCGTCTCTATGATTAGATATGTTTCAGAAATTTCAATTGTTTGGAGGCGATCTGGAATCAAAGTCATAACTTTTAGGGTTATCTTGATAGATCTGTTCTCAATTCCTGGAATTACTCTCTTGGGATTTCGATACCCCTTGTACTACAACTACTTTTGCTGTGTACTTGCAGTAGTTTTATTTGAGTAAAACCTGAGCCCTATCAAGCAGCAGGAGTGATTGGCGTGTGATGGTGGCGAGCTGGTTCTCTAGTTCGGTCATTGGGGTCCTTAAGACAGTTAGCTTTCTATTTCAAATGGTTTTCAGTTGGTTTTGTGACTTGATTATGATTTATTTAAGTTTAAGTTGGTTATTTGCAAGACTATTTGGATTTATATCTATGAAATGAGTATTGATTTGGAGTTAATGCTGTGGTAACTTGGTTGGAAAGTTGAGTGTTTAACACGTCATCTCATATGAGGATAGGCGGTGTTACAAGTTTGGTATCAGAGCCTAGGTTACCAGTCATACCGGTTCTGACTCGGGAGACATATTTTCAAAGTAAAACCGTTTTCAAAAGTTTTTAAAGGTGGGCTGGGGTTTTCAAAAGTAAAACAGCATCATCACACCGTATCACTCTGCTCTCCAGGCTCAGTAAGTTAGTATTTTTTTAGTTATCTTCAGTTCATCTTCATCTGCTGTCCACATCTACATTGTGTCTACTGTCCTCATCTGTTGTCTGCATCGTCTAGAGTCTGCTGTATCTGTATCTGCATTAGTTATGGCTAATCGAATCGGAGGACACGATTCTGATTACTTATTCTTGTGAATAGATGCCACCAAAGGGACAGTGTTTGACTAGGGCTGCAGCACGCCGTGAGAGTGAGGAAGAAACCCAAACCACTTCAACAGGAAGTGTGAATGAAGGCAATACCGGGCGGACTCGTGCCAGGGAGCAGGCAGAGGAAGCATGTGCTCAAGCTTTAGCCGCGCAACAGGCTTTAACTGCGGAACAGGACCGTGCCGCCGCCCAGGCTCGGGAAGAGCAGGCGCGTGTGACAGAGCAAGCGCGAGTTGCGGAACAAGCACGTATTGCAGAGGAAACTCGTGTAGCTGAGCAGGCTCGCATTGCTGAGGAAACTCACGCTGCAGAGCAGGCTCGAGCTACAGAGGCAGCTGCTGAAAAAGAAGAGCTGTTGAGGTACCGCGAGAGGTATGGAAAACCTCTTCGTGGAAACCTCAATGCGGAAGGAGTGTATGAAGGTGCCAATCCGCACCGTGATGAGCCGCGAGTGGAGGTACATTTACCCCCACCACCACCTTTGGGTCGTGGGCAGGACAGGGAGCCTGTACCGACATATTGGGAGGCTATGAATCACGTTCGTCTCATGGGAACTGAGATGTTTGCGGGTAAGAGTGATCCTACTGCCGCAGACAACTGGAGAAAGAAGTTGGAGAGGAATCTTGATGGAGCAAGGTGTCCGCTAGCATACCGCAGAGACCTGGCCGTCCAGTACCTGAAGGACGAGGCGCTGGTGTGGTGGGAAGGTCTTGTGGAGAAGGCTGAAGGATGGTATGAACTCACATGGGAAGATTTCAGGACGAAATTTTCCCGTAAGTACTTTCCTCGCGAGGCAATGGAAAAGATGGTGAATGCATTCCAAGACTTGCGTCAGGGAAGCAAGACCGTATGCGAGTACGAGGAGGAGTTCAGTCGTTTGAGGATATTTGCTGGTCAACACCCAGGAGAGCAAGAGTTGATCCGACTTTTCCTTAGGGGAATGGGGGTCGAACTCAAGAATCGCTGCCGCATAAGAAGGTATGACAGTATGATTGACCTCGGGAAACGGCTGCAACTCAGGAAATTGGAATGGAAGAGGAGCAGAAGGTTGCAAGGAACGCCCAAGCTAAAGCCGCTAAGGGGACGGAAACCCATAAGTGAACTTGGGATAATGCGAAACAAAGGAACAGACCATCGCATCTGTGTAACAGGTGTGGGAAGTACCACCACGGAGCGTGTCGTGGAACGGCATGCTTCAGGTGCAATCAACCGGGCCATATGGCTCGGGATTGCCCAGCAGTAGCGCCAGTGGAGTCGTGCTACCGCTGTGGACGGGTTGGGCATAAAGCAAGGGACTGCAGAATGCTGGTACCACACGGAGGAGGCAATCAGGAACAGCTACCGCCAGCACCAAAGAGACACACCCCTGGACCGCGTTTGCTCATGGCAGGAGACCACGCTGGTGTGGAACCGATCGCTGGCAAGTACATAGTTGTTATGGTTTAGAAGTTTTAAGTTCTGTGTGTTAGTTGTGTGTTTGTAGAGTAGAGCCTTAGAAGTAGAAACCCTGTAGGATCGGTCCTCGTTGGAGGCATAGCAGCTCACACTCTGTTCGACTCGGGAGCTACCCATAACTTCGTTTGTCCGGAGATAGTGAGGGTTTCGACGTTCAAGGGAATCTGTGTTCCGAAGTCCAAGGGGATCCATACGGCTGGAACCGAGCTGGTACAATCCACGGGAGTGCACGTTAAAGTCCCCATAACGTTGGAAGGTGTGGATTTGCCTTGGGATCTCATAGAAATAAAGCTGAACCACTATGAGGTCATCTTGGGAATGGACTGGCTGACCCGATACCATGCGACTTTGGACTGTTACAAGGAGAGGGTCAGGATTCCCAAGGAGGATCGTTGGATAACGTTCCAAGGCGTTCAGTTGAAGTCAGGGGTCACAATCATCTCGATGTTGCAGGTAGAAGAGCTTCTGGGGAAGTGGGGCGAGTACTTACCATTAGCTGAGTTTGCTTACAACAATTGTTATCACTCGAGTATCGGTATGTCTCCATACGAGGCTCTGTATGGTAGACCGTGTCGCACTCCCCTCTGTTGGACTGAGGTGGGTGAGCG